CCATAGACCACTGATTAAAGTTCACAAGCAGAGACTTGATTATTTCACAATGAAATAATTGGTGTACAAGAGCTGTGAATTGTACATCATTTAGACAACAGCAATCCACTTTGATTTTAACACACTTCAGTCTGGTCGAAATTAAATTCTATTTCCCCATTTGCAGAAATTAAACGTTTATAACGTCTTTATGCATGCTCAATAATCTAACCAAGTCAAGTCCTCTGGATGGGTTCTTCTTGTTGAAACGATTCGTCTTTTATCCAAAAGACTTCTTCAGTCTGAGGAGCTGCAGCAAGCTGCTTATAAATAGCACCTTCTCATAGTGGATCAACCAGTTTGTTGTTGACATCCAGAACTGGTATTTCACATGATGAAGGAGGACCATGTTCATTACCTTTCCAAAGATTCTCACTTCACCAGAGCTGAACTATCACATCAACACATATTAATGAGTCTTTGACCTAAAAGTGCAGCTTATTTTCAAGCAGAAGCACATCTACAACACAACAGGAACACACACAAAGTTTACGTGCCTCCTTTTAGAAACAGAACGGGCTCATTCTATTCATGTCGACTACCTGAGAGAACAAAACGAAGACATACAGAGAGAGAGAGACACTGGTTCACCAAATCAGGGGGAAAAGGAGAGATAGAGAGAGGATTCAAGCCTCCATCTGCAGAGAGGGAGTCAGGAGACATGCCTTCTGGCAGGAGCTGAAGAAGACAGCTGTGTTTGGTGTGGTATTTTTAAACGCATCAATGCTGCTCCAATCCCTGCGCCTCGCCTGACCTATTTTTAGCCAGGGCTGGCCATTGTTCTATTTCTGTCACCTGTGGGCCCCGCAGTTGTTGATTCACATGCAAATGAAGCCCCCCCACCCCCCTCCCTGCCTTTGCGTTGCTGCCTCTGCGAGGTGCTCAGTGTGTGCACGACTTTCCTGGCAACTCCAGCGTCTCTCTCTCTCTCTCTCTCTGCTGCTGCTGCGCTTGGAGATCTTCGTGTCTGGGACCAGACTGAGGAGAGGAGCCCTGCAGAGAGAGACAGGGTGCAGCTTTTAGTTTGTCAGAGGAGGAGGCAGAGCTGCCTGCTGTCGTGGTCTCTCCCGCCCCTGGGTGGCTGAGGGCTGGCTCTTTTTGGTGACAGGAAACGCAGGGCTTGCGATGAGAGCTGAGCGCTGAGTGGAGTATGCTGCAGACGATTTACGAGGGCGAGTCAAGTTTCTCCACAACAGAGAGGCGCGTTGGACACCAGCAGCTCTCCAGCCACAGCAAGATGCACAACGTGAACAACTCAGGTGATCTCATACTGCTGCTAACCGAGGAGCCACTTTTCTCTTCCTGCTTTTTAATTCTTTTTTTGGCTCTTATTGCTTCCGTCGCTCACATTTTCACTCTGTCTCATTGACTTTGCGCTCTGGTTTGTGCGCAAAAGCATCACCGCAACCAGGTAGGAGCGGTCCTGAATCAGTTTATGAATGGTTGTACAAGAAAGGGGGTTAGCATGGTTAAAATAAGGCAGTGGGCGTACGCACTGCTTTTGGATGAATGTGTGTTTTGTGAGCTTCATGTCGCCGTGCACTTTTCAAGGAACAGGAAGAACTATGATAAAATGGACATTTAGACACTAACCTGAGACATGAAGTGAATTGTATACGTGGCTGACATCAGAATGAGTAACATCCATTCTCTGTATTGACTAAAAATGAGTCACACTGTTTGTGCGCTTCTTTCCCTTTGTGTGGCTATTGATAAAAAGTCCAAAAATAGCTTAGCACAGAGCTGAAAACACTCAGTGCTTCGGGTAAACACAAGGAAGTGAGGACAAAATCCTACAAGTGTTTGATTTCTTTGAAATATGTTACCTCCTGTGCACCACAGTCCAATTATGTGGGCTTTTTTTTGTTTGTGGTGCTGCTCTGATTGTTGCATTCAGGTGTCAAAAGAGTTCACAGGAGCACTTGAAAACATCCAGAGGTTTTTTGGATGCCAACAGATCAGGCCATTTAAGAAGCAGCTTTATTTTAGCTTTTGTCTTTTGTCCTGCAGCCTGTGAACCAAATAAGAAATATATAGTGAGTGCTTGAATTCAGGCTCCTTGCTTATTCTGTGGGTCAGCTATTCTTAGGTGAGTTATTTTCGGCTTATGGCATTAGCCTGCTAAGATTAGGCGTCTGTGCGTTATCATTCCATCTTGCATGCTCCTGATATAACAGCGGTTTGGAACAGATATTAATAGAAAATTCTCCCATTCGCCTGTTTAATTTGTTCTTCTCGTTTTAGAATAGCTGATAGTGACAGTGTCTGTCTGAAAATGCTTCTCTAGAAAGAGTTTCATCTACAGTGACATGATGCTTGTTCAATATGTCTTGCATTAAATGTGGATGGTTTTTGCATTTATAATTTTGTCTTTCAAGTATTCAACCTCTTAAATGCTTCTCTTGTGTTTCAAGTGGATCAGCAAATGGAAGGGCCTCGTCATTTTTACTTTGATTAGTGTCAGCACCATCAAAGTTATATATATATAAAAAACCAGTCCTCAGGTGGGTTCTCAAACAGGCAGAGACTAATGAGTTTCCCCTGAGAGCAAAATATCATGCAAATATCAAAACGGGGACCTTTCAGGCAGGAACAATGCAGCACCTTTTGGATCCACTCGTCTGTGTCCTGTATCTATTCAGGCCGCCTCGTCACATGCATCTGAAGTGTTTACGGCTGAAGGGATCGTGCAGAAAAAAAACACACATAGGATGTGGGTTTTAATGCCAACGCTGCCGCCCGGCCCTCTCTGTATTTGAAAAATGGAGAGACTTAGCAAAGATTGTCCAACAAACAAAGAATGGCTGATGAAAATAATTTTCAAAATCAGTTTGTTCATTTTTGATAATCAAAACTCGTGCATATACTGCCAAACTTGTGTTTTGTTTGGAGTTCTAAGGATTTTGTACCAAATCTGTTGTCAGTGTTGTACTCTGTAGGGGAAAAAAACACATCATCTTCATAAGTCCCAGCAGAAGAACCCTCCGCCCATTACCTTTTCTTGACTGGATTTACTTTTGTTTTGGTCCCCTTATTGTTTTGTCAGAGGTCAGAGGTAACAGCCGGACAGGAGACGACTGGACTCTTGGCCAGTGAAAGACCCCGTGATAGCTCAGCTCATTTCTCTTTTTGTTAGCAGACTGACTCCAAACTGCAACTCTGGCTCGGCTGCAAGGACGAGCCCAAGTCTTAAAAATAAAGACCCGCTTCCTGCTTTAGACATACCAGCTGCTCAAAATAACAAGGCACTTAATGAGAGATCCAGCACCACATTGCAGTCCCAAGCATCGGCTTATTTTTTGCCCTCAAACATCTTCTGTATCTCAGTTTCTATTTATACAAGCAGACGGGGAATTTAGATATGCAACACTTTATCTGAAACTGACATGCTCTCGCCATGCATGTTTAAAGTGCAACCGTGTTTGTGTTATTTATATGAAAAAGATAAATTATTTCTAAAAATGCATGATATGATAATAGTAAGAGGTTCTTAAAATATTGAAACTACTAAAAGGGTTCAATGGAATGTAAATGAGCTTTTATTGAAATGTCTGTAATGTTTTGGGGTTGTACTATTGAGCTATTATTGAAATAGGTTACTTAACAGATAATAACTGGATATTTTCTTGTATTTAATGCCTTGTGAAATTGTTCTAAATGTCTGGCATTCATGTTGCTCTTTTACAAATATATATTATGACAGTGTTAGTTATATTTAATAAGTTTGATGCTTTTAACTGTCAAAAGAAACATTTAACATTTTTGATGTATTAACTGGGAAATATTTTAGGTGCTAGACTAAGTCAAAAGCCACAATAAGAATTTAAAGACATTTAATGGTGGAAGCAAACTTCTTAAAGTTGAACCGTATTTTTCGGATAAGGCGCACCGGATTATAAGGCGCATTAAACAAAACTAAACAGTCAGATAAGTCAAACTTTATTCAACTCATTCACAATAACCACTTAAAATCGGTTCGAGGTCAGTAAGCACAACCAGACATAATAAATAAGTTGCACCTGATTATAAGGCTCACTGTTGATTTTTGAGAAAATTAAATGATTTTAAGTGCCCCTTATGGTCCGAAAAATACGGTAACTCAGGTCGTTTGGAGTGAGGTTTTTGTGGAAAGCACATGAATAATTGTATCTGCTGTACGTGTCTTAAAACAACTCAAGTTTCAACATTTTTCAAGATGTTTGTGAGAACGCTGAATGTTGCTGTGGTGAACGTTTAGCATCACATAAATACTCATAGATAATTTTGTGGTATTTGCAAGCACAAAGAACAGCAGAAACTAGCTGAAGCACTTTTGGTGCAGTCTGGGACACTCCCTGTCGAATTATCACATTTCAGACGGAATAACCATGTAATGTGAAACTGATTGATAAAATATCAGTCATGAACTATAAAATTTTAGAGATTAGAGTTATTTTCATATGGTAGTAATTTACATCGGTCTTGGTATCACTCATTTTAGCCATTAGCTTATCATTCAAATCAGAGTTATCTCTATTTCTCTAAACGGAGGTCTTTCAAAAAGCCATCTACAGCAGGTAAGATATTAATTTTTCATAATCATCTTGCTGAACCTCACTACAAAAAAATACGAACTTTACAAAGTAAACATGCCTGCATGTTATTTTTATGTAATTTCCGTGGTCATAGCTCTCTTCTTACTGAAACTAATGGTTTATTAAGTGTCAGATAAAGAACATGGAAATGCTTAGATTTTTTATGGTAATCTTATTTTGCAAGCGATTTGGTATGCATTTAAGTCTGCGCACGTGCAGTGGTAGGATATTATATCCAGTGATGTGTCTCATTTTGGGATGGGAAACGTACTAATGTGGCTTGAGGCAGTAAAACACAGCCATCAAACATCTCAAATTAAGGCTGTGATTGTCACTTTTACCATCACCGGGGCTAATGAGAGGCAGATCAGTTATAGAAATAAACACATTGGGGACACTGATGATGCGACGCTGCAGTGAGAGTGTGGTCACAGGCAGTGAGTCACACTATCCCCCCTTGGCAGGACCTCCGCAGGGAGGAATCTGGGCATGGTACAGGGTGCTTGTTGCTCCCTTGTGCTAAAAACAAAATTGGGACCTGTCATTCATAAATCTCTTGTTTACCAGTGCCTCCAGACCCTTCAGTGCACTTTCCACGAATCGAGAGGCACCTCACGTTCACCCGATATGAAGCCTCCCGGGGTCCAAGATCACCAGCAGCGCTGATCCAGAAGAGGTGGAAAGGCAGACTTCACTTTTGAGTGATGATAGAAATTAAAAAAAAAAAAAAAAAGCACCTAAAAGTTACATAAATGTGACACGGTGCATTTATTTTAGCCTGTGTTAATTTGAGCAGACGGCCTCACAACTGTGACAGTCTTTTTTGCACATTGTCTATATTAAGACCCTGCTCAGAAAAGCATTTAAATTTAGCCCTAGTTACTGCTAGTTCCCTATTTCCCCCTGCTCGGGGAGGATTTTTATGATAAAAGAACACCTGATTTCATTTGGACTAGTTTCATGCTGCTGTTCACATTCATAAATCAATTTTTAGTTTGAAACAGCATAGGTCTGTGTTGGCAAAGAAAGCAGACAAAAGCGATGCAATGTTCTTTTTCGCGTTTGAGTCGAAAAAAAGAGTGTTGTCAGTCATGAGGAAGAAAGCTGAAAATTACATACATTACACAGAGAGGTGTTATTGTTGCTAGAACAGAGCCTACTTACCTTTAGGGCTCTATTCTATCCCCTCATTGTTATTCAGTTCAGTATTATTCTTGTCGACATGGTGAATGGCGAGCAGACAAGAATAGAACATGCACATGAGGCTGTTGTCGTTTGCTCAAGGGACGTTTTATAAAGCCTGCTTTGTCAAGGATAACTTAAGGAGCTAGTTCAAAAATCTTTGATGTGGGGTTTTAAGGAACTGTTATGAACTGTTAATATCCTACCTGTTGTAGATGGATCTTTGAAAGGCCTCAGACTGGACGGATAGCGTTTTAATTCTGACCAGATTGACCAAGCCAGCTAGTTTTATCCTAAAAACATTTATATTGCTATAAATTTAGCTTTTCACGGATATTCTGGCAGGTTTATTGTGCTATTCCTGCTGAAAGTAGCAGTGGGAATCATTTGGCACGTCATAATTCAATTCGGTTTTGTTTAGAAGGCCACGTTGCTATAACTAGTTATCAATTCATTACAATTACCTTATAATAATTACTTTACTTTTACACAAATAAACATTGATATATTAATTTTCATATTTAATAAAGATGGCAATATAACTGATGCTTAAAAACCCTAATAATCACAGGCTGCTAACCAACAAATAGCATAGATGCTAACCTAATACCGAAATTGTCACAGAAAATATAATGTGCCCTATTTTCCGGTGTATAAGTCGCTCTGGAGTATAAGTCACGTCAGTCAAAAAAGCATCATGAAGAGGGAAAAAACATGATATGTTGCTTCGGCGTATAAGTCACATTTGTTATGCTTCACTGCTGACCCGTCACGTTTATTATGCGTTTATTTAATGGTCAAAACAGTTTCATTTTGCCTGGGCGGCGCGATCCATCCTTCCATCCATCGCGGCCGGAGCCGCTAGCTCTTCAGTGTTCCTCCACCTGCACCAGCTGAGTGAAGCGAGTGCGCACGGGAGGACTCGCTGTTGCAGTTCTTAGAAATTTAAAGTTTCTGTCAAAAATTGCATTATGAATATAAAACAAAAAAATTATATAAGTCACTTCGGCGTATAAGTCGCAGGACTGACAAATCTGTGCAAAAAATTGCGACTTATATCTCGTAAAATTTGGTAAATAACACTGTTTATCACTTAAATGTATACATATAATCTTGGTGCCATTTGGACAAGCCTTTAGTGTGTCAGTCGAGTCAAAATTGAATTCTGTTTCTCCAAATTCAGGTGGTTGAATAAAATCTTCAACAGGTAAGATATTTGTTCCTAACCTTTTCACGGAGCCCCACTTGAACAGATCTGAAGCTTTGACACTCCTCTTGCACCAAACTGCTTCCCAAATGCTAGTTCAGAAATCCTGATAAAGGCTTTGCTTGTTGATTAAAAAAGGAGATTTTTTTAATGCCAGTCACAATGAGGATACAAAGTGAAAAATGAGTTTAATTAGACATCACAGTGGTGAATTCTCCCAGGCAGCATTTTTCTTTTTATGTGTGTGTGTGTGGGAGCTATATTTGGACCCATTAAACAAAAGTAGCACTAAGGCTGTCTGACTTTCTTAGCCCTTCATTGGTTCACAAATTCACGGCTTCTCCTGGAACAGCACTTGTTACAAAAAGGGTCCTTTGTCAAGTACTTCCAAGCTAAGATTAATATTCGCTGTCAGGAGAGAAGTGCCTGTTCTACAGGTGCCTGTTCGCTGTGCCTGTGTTGTTGCCCTCCTCTGTCATTTGATTCAAGTTGTTTTTAGAACACAGAGAGGGAAAATGACAGCACTGGAGTCCCCTCTGTTTGCTTTTACTTTTTGAACAACTTATCACTTATAAAGCACTGATTTTTGCTGCGAGTGTTGGTGTGTTGGAGGCTTTTGTAACATCTCATTCCCTCTCTCTCATGGAGGGGGAGGGGGGGACTCCTTTTTCTTATATAAGAGCTGAAAATCTGATATAATAGTCAACATGTCACATTGGCACAGTAGGCAGGAGATGACACGCCGGGAGACTTGATATCCGCAGAATGAGGGGAGACATAATTACGTCGCCAGCGTTGCCATGGCAGCGGCAAGTTAGGGTGGTGGATACTAGGGTGTGGGGGTTGTCACAGACCAGGATTGCGCCACTTGCTTTTATGTTTCTATTTTTAATCATCACCACCGCATGCACATGGAATGGTGGCAACAACAAAAAAGGAAAAAGGAGAAACAGGCAGGCAACATGGCAAAAACAAACGGGCGTCAGCGAACAGGACAACACTGCTGCCCTGCTTCTGCCAGGAGCTCAGCTCTTTTGGCAGGCTAAACTTTTTTTTATATTAATTTTACTGCAGTTTGTAAGTTTATGACAGGAGATTCATCACAAAATTATTCATATAAATGTACGTGGAGGTGGTATGGGAACATTGCAGATATTTGTTCTCTCAGATGTGACCCTAAATAAGATGAAGGCAATGAAAGAATCCTCCTCTAGCCTCTGGAATCTTAAGTGGGCTGCATTAGTCCAGCCTTACAACAAAATGTTTGTATAAAGTCTGGACAAATGCATACTCATTGTTAGATTGCCACATTATAATCGGCTTATTTGAAGAAAGAAACAACTTTATTCTTTAAATGTGATTGATACATGGCATACCATTTTAAATATGTACAAACTGGAGCCGTCTGATAATGTCACTTTGGGGTGGTAGTGATGGAAAACCATCTTGAATTGAGCTGACTCCAAAAACTTATCAGCTGTAGACATACACATCCTATGATTACACTTTCATTGGTTCGTGAGATATTTTGCTAACAGACAAACAAATAGGCATGCACACAGATGATTTCATGATCAGTCGCCTTTCATGGCAGCAGGTGATAATCACGGCTCATTCCTTTTGGAATAAACCCGTGTCCCACGTTGAAACTAGCGATTGACTTACTCTGTGGAACAGTTTATATATAGAGTTAGGAGCCCAAAGGGAAAGCCTCTAACTTTGTATAAGGAATAACTTATAATAGAAGTGGCATCTACACCAAAGGGCAGAGATTGGAAGATCACAGGTACACAAACACATACAGGTTCACAGCCTTCTTTGTCTTGAATTACTTATGAGAGGAAAGAATATCTGCACAGTATGCTGCATTTTTCAACACTCCCCTGCTGAGGAGTGTTTTACAAGGAGAAGGACTCTCCTTCTTTATTTATCAAAGAGTGGGAAGACAGATTCCATGTAAAAACTGTAAATGACCACTTCAGCATTTCATGCCAAATGTTCACTAAGTCTTGCAGTGCAGACAGCAGTTCCCAGCTGACTTTAAAATGATGGATGGGATATTGTTCGTTCAGAAGCCACAAGAATGGCAGCCTGTCGAGGATCATGAGAGAAAAATGTGCTTTCAGTGTGTGCATATTCTCTTAGCCCTGAAAGTGATACTTCTTTTTTTTAAGTGAGGTTTTGTGGAAAGTTTACAAACAGTTAATATCTTACCTGTTGTAGATAGCTCTTTGAACCATTTGTGTTTTGTTTAATTCTGACCAGATGGACAAGCTAAAGGCTTGTCCGAGCTAAAGTAGATTGATGCCTTCTCTAATAAAAATAAAAAAATAAAATAATGCTGTTTTAAAAACTTTAGCAATTACTGTCAAATTCACATTACAGCACTCCCTCGTTTATCGTGGGGGTTTCTGTTTTCAGCTCTCCCGCGAATAGTAAAAAACCGCAAAGTAGGAATATATTTATGCCCTCCCACACTCTTGCAATATTCTAAACAATGTTTCTAAACTCTAAACGCTCTAAAAGAGCACAGCATGACATGATCTCTACTCTCTGCCACCTGCCAGTGCTCTTGGCCACGCCCACTTCTCCGCTGCAGAGCCCAGATCATGACATGCTGCAGGAGGGAGCTTCTCCCTGCACATACAGGTATGGGCTGCACACAGGTGCAGCAAGTGCTAGATAATTTAAAATAATTTATTATAAATAAGAAATTCATGCCTATCTTGTAGCTCATCCATCAATCAGCCAATTGTGAGTCATGTCCAATCTTACTTTGAAAAACAATGAAAGAGTGAGTCTGCGAAAGTCTAACTCTGAAGTAGTGAGGGACTACTATTTTTGGTTATTTACATGAATGTTACGGTTGTTTGAAAGCAGAAATAGTGTCAGCAGCAGTTAGCTTTAGCACTTCCAGTGCAGCCTTGGACATTTTTAAACTTGTAATGTCAAATTGGTGGTATTGTATGTAAATGAACACAAATAGTGTTAAAACAAAAAGCTTTTTTGGACAATGGAGACAACTATAATTTACTTTGGTCTCATCCTGTGCTCCAACTAGCATTTAGCACATCAGTCTGATTAGAATTAAACTCTGTACAATCTATAACACATAGGATTATAATATTTGACCATGGTCCTATGCAAAAGATCTGAATACGCTCTTTAACATGATTTGTCCTAAAAAAGATTACTGTACTGCTAAAATCGGAAGCCACCAACTACAACTGCAATAAAAGCATGACATATCTAATGCTCTGTTTTATTCTGTTTTGTTTCTGTGCCACAGTGGATATTAAGCCAGACGTACCCTTGGCTGCAGAGCCCTTATCCCCTTTAGACCTGCGCACAGATTTGAGGATGCTGGGGGCAGGCTCGGACCCCGGGATGTGGGAGAGGCAGCTGCAGCAGGAGCTGTTTCTCATTCAGAAACAGCAGCAAATCCAGAAGCAGTTACTCATCAGCGAGTTCCAAAAACAGCACGAGAAGCTGACCCGTCAGCACCAGGCTCAGCTCCAGGAACATCTCAAGGTTAGCACAGGACTTAAACAGCTGTACAGACGTCAGCCACAGCATGGCTCAGTGCAAATATAAAAGAAAAAAGAAAGTACAACTCACAACAACATCCCACAGAAACAACTCAGCAACTGAGTGCTGAAAAATGCACTGTTTACATCATTGTAAAGAAAAATGCAGAGGTGTACACTGCAGCAAAAAAATAAAATAAAATTCTCGAAAGCTGCCGTGATTTTAGAATTCTGCGCATTTGTTTCATGCTGATGTGAGCCTCTTGTGTTTCCCAGCTTCAGCAAGAGCTGCAGGTCATGAAGCAGCAGCAGGAACTTGCAGAGAAGGAGCGCCGTTTGGAGCAGCAGCAGCAACAACAAAACCAGCAGGAAAAAGAGCAGGAGAAACATCGACGAGATCAGCACGTCTCCAGCCTGAGCCTCAGGGCCAAAGAGCGCTCCCGAGAGAGTAAGAGCTCGCCACCGCCATCATCCCTGGCTCCTTACTGTCAGGAGATGAATAAAAAAAAACAAAAAGTGGGGGGCCTCGGGCAAAAACAGGCGTAACGTTCAACATTTTCAATCAGTGAAAATCAGTGAGACCTAAGTAAAATATGTGAAAACAGGAGAACTCTATTTTAGTTAAATGTTCCACTGGCTGAGGAAATACTCAGTTTGTCCTTTGGGGAATGCATGCTCTATTAATATGATTATTAGTTTTCAAGTCACGGCTCTGAGTTGCCTTTATCAGCTTGTTTAATTCAACCATGAACCTTTACTGGCATACATTTTTGCATTTGGGCAGCAATAACTCTTTTTTTTTTTTTACATTTCAACTCTCTGTTGGAATAACTCATGTCTAGTCACAAAATGCTGCCATAAAAACAAGTATTGTTATTTTTTTTTCTCCTTATCATTTGTTGTGCAGTCTCGTGAATGTTGGAGATATTTAGCATATGAGCATGTGAATGCTAAAGCTGTTTTATTCTTGGACAACATTAACCAAAGATCTCGTTAAAGTTGTGCAACTGAAAGAAACTATCTGCCTCAAGAAAACATTTCTGTTGTACTCCAAGGTTTTAAGTCCACTTTGTTATAAAACACTAATGGAGTTTTTTGCATTTGAAGCTAGCAGCAAGGTTAGAATATGAATCTATTTTACATCATTTTAGACTTTTCTTTGCTTCTTAAACATCTCAGCAAAGACTGAAGATGTCTGAATAATAAACCATGAAGGATGCTCCTGAGAAAATACACTGAAAAGATTAAATCAACTTTGGACCTCAGATAAAGGAATAATAAAAAAAAAAACTATGATGATGGTACTTTGAATCAGGACATAACAGAAAGCTGGCCAGAGACACCTGACACTCGGGTTTAGGAGAAACGTCTTTCAGGAGCACGATGAAAATAGCATCAGATATAATATTTCATTTCTGTTTTTACCTTTTACCTAATAATAGACAAGATTCATGACTTTGTCAAGTCAGGTAATATGAAGCTGTTCCTGCAACTGTATCCATTTGATGGGAGGGATGTTCTTTGCAGCATGCAGCAACTGATGTGTTGCTTTTTAACCACTAGGGGGAGATCTTCATACATAACTTGCATGTTCTGAAAGAAGAGCAAATAGTTCCTGAGACTGAAGAAAAAGTAACTTATGTGACTTTTTACAAGCAGTTTTGATTTAGTATTTAGTTACATGTAATATCAAAATGTATTTTTGAAATTATCCATGTTAAAAAGGGGTAACTGCATTTTAGGGTAACCCCAATCCCTTTGGTTCTTGTCTTTTGGTTTCACAGGTGCGGTGGCCAGCACAGAGGTGAAGCAGAAACTCCAAGAGTTTCTGCTCAACAAGTCAGCGAAGGATCCTATCAGCAACGGAGCTAATCATTCGTTTATCCACCACCCCAAACTCTGGTACACGTGAGTGCTTTTTGTTGCGTTCTTCAAGAAGAATGGAAACAAAACAAAACTGGTGCTATGTCACTCTGCTTCCTTTTGAATGACCTGACTTCTTGTTGTGTAACCAGGTCTTCTCACCACACGTCGTTAGATCAAAGCTCTTCACCTCTGGGAGGAACGTCACCCACCTGCCAGTACACTCTGCCATCACCTGTAGAGAGCAAGGATGACTTCCCCTTGAGGAAAACAGGTTTGTGAGCTTACACATAAACTGTACACAGATAAAATACCCAAATATGTACCGTATTTTTCGGACTATAAGGCGCAATGTCAATGAACGGGTGTCACCGTTCACCGCACTGGATTATAAGGCGCATTAAGCGAAACAAGTTCATTGTGACAGATTTTTGAGCGCTGTGTAACACATAAAATCAGTTCGAGGTCAATAAGCACAACCAGAATTAATACATAAGGCACACTGGATAATAAGGTTCATTGTTGATTTTTGAGAAAATTAAAGTATTTTAAGTGTGCCTTATAGTCCAAAAAATACGGTATGTACACATCATACCCATATACTGTACATTAATCTTTCAAGGCACACAGTTTAAAAAAGTTGTGACTTTTCCATACATTACTCATGTTTTGTTCACTAAACTGGGCTGATGAAGCCATCAGTAAGTGGATATGACTAGTTCCTGAGTGTCACGGATGACCTGCTGACATTCACTTATTAGGATTAACCCTCAGTGTTCTTTAAGAACACCACATGAATCCAAACCAAAAGAAGTGCCACTGACGTTAATTAACTCTCCTTCACTTATATCCTGATTATTATTACCAGACTCTAAAGGTAACGCTGGAGCGATCATGTTTTCACCCATGTCTGTGTGTTTGTTTATACCGTTAGTAAAATATTGCATGAACAACTGGAAAGATTTCAATAAAACTCTTAGAAAGTAAATATTGTATGTACATGTATAACACATTAACTTTTGGATTTAACCCAAATCAAGATGGCTGCTACAGTTCGTTGTTATTAGTCGACACAGAAATGACTATAGCTTAGTGACTTTTACAGATATTCATCTAAATTTGGTGCGGTAGTACGTGACAGTCATTTACAGCACGTGCTCCAAGCATGTCTAGTGATTTATCACAATATTGCATGACTATACACAATGTTATTTTCAAAACTTTGACTAGAATAGCTCTAACATGAGATTATCTTAGTTTTAATCTCTGGAATTAAAGGCGATATGTATTCTTTCAAAGAATGCTGTAAAGTAGTCCCTCGTTTATCATGGGGTTAAGGGGACCAAGCCCCTGTGATAAGTGAAAAACCTTGAAATAGGGATACAAAAGTCCAAGTTCAAGTTTCACTCCTAATCTCCCTCCTTCTGTGTAAATAAACAATTTAAAATTAAATACTGTGATGTTTTAAATAAACAGTCCATGCAGCATGGATTGTTTATTTAAAATATCACAGTATTTAAATTGAAATTGTGGAGAAGAGAAGTGCAACAGGACAGCAAAGGGTTAACCCTTCATGCAACAGATGCAGCACGGAGCAGAAATGTGTGGGTGGCAGAGAGCAGAGATCATGACAGGCTGCAGGAGGGAGCTTCTCCCTGCACCTGTGGGCTGCACAAAGGTGCAGCAGGTTCTAAGTAATTTTAAAATAAGTTAATTTAAATAAACAATCCATACTGCTCGTGTGGCTCATCCATCCAATTGTGTGCCATGTCCACTCTTATTTTGAAAAACGGCGAAAGAGCGGGTCTGTGAAAGTTGAACGGCGAAGTAGTGAGGGACTGCTGTACTTTCAATGTTTAAATAGGAATTAAATGCAGGCAAGAACAAAATTGATTTACTTGCTTTATGATTTTGTATCATTTAGTCTAAAATCCCCTAGCAGTTATTTAAAGTTATTCACATGTAACTCCATGTTGCAATAATAAATCTTATTCTACAGCCTTTTTGAACAGTGTCATGGTGCAGTGAATTAAAGAGTTGAGGTAGATTAGTTTTTCTTTAGTTATAGGTTTTAAAAACTCTTTTGGAATTTGAGAAAGAAAAAAAAAGAAATCCCACTAGCTCAGGTTTGTTGGTTCAAAGTTTGTTGAATCCTCTGGGGACGGCTGTGTAAATAAGATTAATTATTGTTTTTCTTTCTTTGCATGAGCCTAACGATTTGCCAAGGTAAAAGAAAGCTTCATAATTTGGCCATGAGGTCAGCAAATTATATTATGCTCCTTCCCCTTCTCTGTCTCCGTTAATTATATTGGAAAACAATACGATACTTGTTGAGCCGGTGACCTGCAGGCCTGTCGTTTTGTGTGTATACACAATTTCAAGATCAAGCTGAAGAATTATACCTTGTAAAAAATATATATATATATCACAGCGTGCCAAGAACAAAGCTTAGGCAGGTAAAAGAAAACGTCAGACGTTTTCTATTTGTCTTCGCTTTGATCCTTCCCGTATTTAGCACCCATTCATAAGACAGAAGGGTCTGCTCCACAAAGCACAGCAGAAGTTATGTACTCTAAGAGACTGATTTAAATTACACGGTTGAGCTTTCATGATGAAAAATATGAAGGAAAAAAAACAAACTTAAAAACGCTTCACATTTATCTGCTCTCCTGCACCGATCAAACTATTTCTCACTCTTTAAATTCTCAAATCTATATGTGGTCATTTCCTGCTCAGGCCTTCCTCCCCCACTTCCTGCCTATCTTTATGAAAGTCCTCTGAGAGTTTGGCACGCGAGGGGGACACACAAAGCTAGTGTTGTTCCCCGAGCCGCTGGCTGTCACCGATAACTGATTGGCAGGTGTTGCAGACTCTGAACTGACACAGGCAGGATGGATCTCAACAGGACTGTTTGTTTAAGCAAAGATAGCTCTCTGAAAACAAAGTCGAGGTGGCTCGAACGCTCCGAGTCCAACTCCCCGCTGCTTCATTTGGCCAGAACCCAGAGCACAATCCTTTCCTGTTTGACTTTGAGTCACATAATCAGGTTTATTTGATGCAGCTAACACATGCAATCTCCAAAATGATTGTCTTATAACATGTGAAAACATGAAATACTTCTTAATAGAAATCCAGCTTCAGTTAAGTGCACTGGTATGAATATTGAGTCCTGACTTTAAGTACTGTAAATTACCTACTAATGAAACAATTCGGTGCTTTAATCTTGTCTGTTACAGATCCCATTGACAGTCGCACAACCTTCAAAAACACAAAGTATCTGCAACACACTTGTCTTTATCTCATGCACCTTAAAAGTAGTTTAAAGACTCTGCTATGATTAGCACATTTACTTGGTTTAAATCCTCTCTGTTTCAATTCCGGAAATTAGAATAGGCTTGGCTGGAGGCACGTGATAGTCTGCGGCAAGAATAGTTGTGGCTAAGCTGTAAGAACTGCAACCACCCCCCTCCACCCCCCACCCTTTACATACACAGACTCTGGTCTTGACCCAGTTACTAAAAGTGTGTATTCAGCAGGTGCAGGAGAGATTTTCAAAAATAATACCACAAAGGTAGAATGGTAAAACTGTAAAGGTGTTAAAAATGTAATACCATGAATTCTCCCAAAGATACACAAATATATTGTATAACCTTACTTACTGTTGGATCTGTTTTGTTTTAGCAGCCTTTTTCTTTTAATGAATGCACCTTTGCTTTTGTCAAAAACTATATCTAAATCTACTGGACTGCAGTACTGTCTATATCAGTGTTTTTCAAAGTAGTGGGTGCCTCAGAAATTTGGAGAGAAGATTTAAAAAAAGCAAAAATAAAAATATATAATTTTTTTTAACTTAAAATTTTAAATGTTTTAAATTACTGTAGTAGAATCAAACCTATTTTTCAAAAATGTATCTTATATATCTTATTATATATTGAAATATTTTTCACCATGCTCATCTTTCTGATTGGCTGCCAGTCAAATGTATCAAGCTGCTTTACTCTTCAAGCATAGACGAAATGAAAAGGTTTCTAAAAAGACCGAAGGAACCGACCAGCAGCCCTGATGTGGCGCAAACTGCTGCAAAAAACAAAGAACTCATGGCCAGTTAAAAATTGAAGGTATGAGGAAGCATACATTAAGTACGGCTTTACAGTCATACAGGAAAATGGCCATGATTGCCTGAAATGTGTCCTCTGTCTGGAGACCCTCGCAAACAAGTGTTTAAGATCTTCAAAACTTCAGCGCCACTCGAGTCTGAATATAACGCAGTGTTTAAAACATGCTAGTTAATGACATTTTTATGCTCAGCAGCTGTAATAATTAAGTGAATATAGTGAATTAAAAAACATTTTAAAAGTTGAAGTTTCTTTACATATTTTGTAGCATTGTTTGTTGGTTTGCAAGAGGGGCCTCGGCCAGAAGCGAATGCTGTTTTTTTTTTTTTTTTTTT